TTTTTTTTTTTTTTTTACGCATTGAAAAGAACCAGACAATGAATGAAATACGGGAGCAAACTAGTATACACAGTATTAGTAGAACCGCGATAGTGTCATTGACTCAAGTTGTGTGATAACATAACATTCCTGTGGTTGAGAAAATTGGGCAACAGGACGGGGTAGAGTCTTAGACAACGCGGAAACCAAAGAGCTGAGAGCCTTACGAGTTCTAGAACATCTATTCGCAAGTGAGCACAACCTAATTAAGCAGGTGAGTGTGAGAAGAGAAAGTGGGTAGACCCAATACAACAAAATATCATCCCAGTCTGATCAGCTGAGTCCAAAAAGGGCACCATCTTCGGCTAGGACGTCGATTGTGGGCGTTTTGGTGAGACTCGGACACCGAGAGTTCGACAACGTCCAATAAGAATTGTTGGTTCGCTACCACCCGCCACCCTAGCCATCTTGCGCTGCAGCACCTGAAATCCGGGCCGCTTCTTAAGAGCAACTTAGTTACTATATCTCATGATCCCTTCGAAGGCTTTCAATAATCTGCTGCGCTGCTACGGCTTGGCGTTGGTAAATAGACTGCTCTATAAGCGCTAGTAAATCCTCTTCAAGCTCACGATCACGAATAGCTTCCTTCAACCAAGCGGAAATCTCGTAGCAGAAACTTATTTCCGGGCTACCTAGATCAAGAGCGCCTGTGAGGTTACATTGAAGGGTTTGAGTGATTAGGCGAATACCATGAAGAGCAAAAATCAGTTCAGACTGTCTTATATAAAGGGGCCATGAGCTTCATTTCAGACAATGTTAGAGTCAAACACAATCGTTCCAATACCTATCAGCTCACGTATTTACGATGATGTACCTCTTCAATGTGTTCATTTGCGTTCTAGTTGCACTCAATCTCATCGTTGCCGGGGACCATGCAGACGGCATATCTCCCTACGGAGATGGCTTTGCTCCAGATGTGACACTCGGAACAGGATGGAATGATTCTTTCCCTGACGTTGAAAGTGGCGCGTCTACTCTAGACTTTGTGGATGAAGAAGATGATACTAGCAACTCTACGGATATCGGAGCCGATCTGGCTCGGCGGGCCGCCAAGGACTTCTATTTGCGAGTGATGCCTCTTGGTGCCTCTATCACCCAGGGGGTTACTTCATCAGATGGTAATGGCTACCGCAAGTGGTTACGGTCTCAGCTACGCTGGAAGGGTTGGCGAGTTAACATGGTCGGGTCCAAGATGGACGGGAACATGGCAGACAAAGTGTGTCATTCGAACAAGGCAAAGAAAACTCGCAGCTTTGCTAACGACAGCCCATTAGGATAACGAAGGCCATCCTGGATGGGTCATCACACAGATTCATACCGCATTTCAGCAGTCGAAGTGGATGATGCCCAATCTGGTGCTGATCAATGCTGGGACGTGAGTGATTGTTTGAACAGCTTTTGAGCATTGTCTTACTTGATGCCAGGAACGACTGCAATGGAAATGTCGACCCGAATCATGCAGCAGATCGCCTCAAAGTTATGATTGATGATATCTTCAATAGCATACCCGGCGTGACCGTTATTGTTTCCACCCTTGTTCCCAGCCGAGACAACAACCCATGCGCTAGTGCTGTCAGCGAACAATATCGATCCTTGGTGCGGTCCCAGTATTCAGGATCCCGTATTGAAGTAGCTGATATCAACGCTGCTTTGCCACTGTCAATGCTCTCCAGTGACGGCGTTCACCCAAACGACGAAGGTTATAAACTTTTCGCGGCTGTTTGGTGGGATGCAGTCCGTAAGGTGGAGAATGTAATTCAGCCCCCAGCTAATGTCGCGAGCATAGACGACAGCTCTATCCTCTCAGGAGGAAACACGTGTGCTAAGGTAGCCGGTAACGCCAGAGGTCCTATCCAAAGCCAACTTGGAAGCGGCCACGACGATGGCATTTACGTACACAATCGTATCGAACGAGGAGCCCTAAAGTCGGCACGAATTGACAAATGGGGTGACCCCAAGAATATCACCGATAATATCCCTTGGCATATGTTTTTCGCCAATCTCGTGGTAGGAGACCCCAATTTCGATCGAAAAGACGCATTGGATGATTGGATAAGAGTCTATCACGATACACGCACTGGGAAGAATACCTATTACTTCCGCCAGAACCTTGGAGGTGGCAACTTTGGTCCGTCAACAACATTTGACGTAGCGCAAGACTGTGATCTTGGGCCCCATTACGCATTTGCAGACTTCAACAATGATGGCTACGATGATTTCTACTGTTTGAAGCAAGGCTCTGCGGTTGCTGTTTCTCTCAATCGTGGAGGAAATCCTCCCAAGTTTGAGTACATAGGGCAAGTTGTGCCGACTCACGCCGGATACACCGACCAGGATGTTCGTATCGCAGACATAGATGGTGATGGCCGTGCAGACTACTGTCTCACACAATCAAATGGTCATTTAGTCTGTTCTCGCAATGGCGGAGTGGACGATAATTACTTCTGGCAGGGCTTCAGTACCGAAAATGGATTACGCGGTACAGTCTTTGACAAAAGAACAGCCGACCCGGCCGGTGTATATCTCGGTGATATCAACGGGGATTACAGGACTGATTACCTCTATATTGGTGATAACGGTAATGTCGAAACATGGATCAACTCTAGAGGATGGAACCCTGGTATTGTACCGAGCTGGCGCTCTGCTGGGCTCACCCACCCGGGACAAGCCGCTTCAGATATTCGCGGAAATATCAAATTTGGACGAATCTATGGCTCTGGTCGACTGGATTATATCTACTTGCATGAAGACGACACAGGATATGACGTTCGCGTCTGGGAGAATACTGGTAGCGGTGGAACTAGACGGAAAGCCGATGGGAATTTCTATTGCGACATGCGAGGAACCGGTGCAGATGACTATGTCTGGATCTACTCCGATGGACATGCGGCAGAGATCAATGCTAACATCCATGATCCACCTTACTGGGGGCACTCTACTACTATCACCCTATCTGTTCCGGGACCAAGGGTCGGCATTCACTTGGCTGACTGGACTGGGGATGGAAAATGCGATGTCCTGGTTCAGAACAAGGCCACTGGGGCGCTAACACTCTATGAGAATCGGTTCGATGCAAGCAAGAATTCCCTAACATTTGCAAATCGCGGGGTGGTTACTGGCGCCACTTGTTCGCAGGGTTGGGGTGTAGGAATTTTTGATCGCGGGATGAGACTCGCTGATATTGATGGCGACAAACGAGCTGATGTGCTGTGCCTGGAGAAGGACGGACGTGTCACTGCGTGGCTGAATACCAACTCCGGCCTGAGTAATGTTGGACAGATCAAGTTCTCAGAGGGCTGGGACAGAGCCAATATGCGTTTTGCAGATGTTGAGGGGTCAGGGAGGTCTGATCTCATTCATCTTGATAAGTATACAGGGGCAGCCAAGGTCTTCAAGAATAATGGACACACTCCAGGCGGTAGCGGTAGTTCCTTTTCATGGACTAATCGCGGAGTGCTCTATTCTCCAATCGATCGAGGCGAGACTATGGTATGCTTTCGGGTTCTGCTTTCGCTTCGGAGACTCCATAGAATGCTAATGAAACTCTTTCTCACAGCATTTCACCAACCAAGGTGGCATTGGTAGAGCCGACCTTCTGCATGTCCTTCCAGTCAGCAATAGAGCCTACACATACTTCAATGAGTGTGGAGGTGGGAGTGGGGGCGACGATGGTCTAATCGGTAAGTTCGTGGCTCGGCTTGCTAGAAATCCGAAATTCCCTCCGAGGTTGGCAATAGGATTAATTTCTTTGGTACAGAGGACCCCCATTTACCCTCTTATGACACTGGCGGTGGTATTGAAGACCCCGGCAATGGCAATACGCCAGGCGCTATCTCGATTGATGGACGCTGTGGCCCAAATTTCAACAATGCCAGGTGCATCGGGTCGCTATTTGGCGCCTGCTGTTCATTTGACGGTCATTGCGGTGGCGACGGCGATCATTGCGGATCGGGATGCCAGTGGGATTTTGGCCTCTGTCGAGGTACCGGGGACGACGAGGAGGGTGGAGGCGGCAATGGAGAGAGCGGCGGAGGAGGCGGCGGCGACTCGATTTGGACCCCTGAGATCATCGCGGAAGTCTGTGGCTACAAATTTAGTAATTTGACCGGAGACCCTTTGGATCCCATGGAACGGTCGTACACTTGGATTGCCAGCAGCGCTGCTACGTGGTTCCTCAACTTTCTGAACACTAACGGCGCGAAGAACTGGTCGAACAAATTCTTCCAGGCAGTTATAGCCAACGGTACACAAGGTGGCTCGACATATGATTGTATTGACATGGGCAAACACCAGTGTCCCGGGCCTGTGAATAAAGAATGCAAGACATACACTCCTCCCCCGGCCTTCTACGTTCATATTCAAATGGGGAATTTGTACGGCGCCTACACCAAGCTTTGGGGCGCCATGGTCGAAGACGGAATAAAAAATCTCGCCAGCGGTATCAAGGAGATTGTTGAAGAGTACGGGACACCTCCGAAGGATGAAAACTCGGGAATCGTTGATATGCTCGTCGGGATCATGACCTCTCTTTTGGGCCTTGCCGTTGAGCGTGATCCTGCTTTAGAGGGACCCATGACATTCTTGGCCGATATCAGTAAGCAACTTCTGGCGTCCATTTCCCCCCTTTATGGCTATGTTTTGAGTAGTGGAGACAGACACAGACCGAAAGTGGACAGTCACTCCCTAAGCATTTCCATTCGTATTTTTCTATTTTACGAATGTTCTCAGAAGACATTTACTGACGCCACATATTGTAGTGGAGCAACTGAAAGAAGAAGATGAAATCGACCCGGGCGAACTCAATGACGAATTAGAGGTAGCCTACGGCAAGATGTTTAGCGGAGTAATGGCATCTATAAACGGCACCGGCAGCCGTATCTTCAGTGGAACTCTTCCCGACGGTTGGGAGGGATCAATCAGTGCTGAGGATTGGGTTTGGACCCGGTTCGCGAATGGCCAATGGTTGGACGCAAAAGCTGTCTCGGACACGGTAGACACATACGTTGAAAACACCCAGTTCAAGTTTGTAAGTATCGACGCTCAGACCCAATAACACTTCGCCAAGCCATCCGCGACACTGACAATTCTGATTTGGCAGAAAGAGTTCGCCGTTATAACGGCCATGAAAACAGGAAACAGCGGGTGGGACTATTTCTTGTTATCTGGTGATGTACGTTCTTCAACCTCGCCCAAGTCGAGATATGCTGATATAAAGTCTCATTTGCAGGAAGACACGCTGTGTGCGGATACGGTGCATTGACACTCTATATTCTTTAGATATGAGCTTTCCGCTAATAAGTTACAGAACGATCCGGTTGGTTTTGGGAAGTTGGTTCCCCTGAACAGTGGCATTTGTGGCGTCATGGAAGGGTGCAAATGGCATGATAACGTGAGCATCCCACATTACTAAGGCAACAACCCAAAATGCCTTCCGCTATCTCAATGGAACATCAGCGTTATGATGTAAATATGCTAACCAGTGCTCCTTGTTCTAGCGCTGTATCTGCTTTGGCAGGCGATCAAATCGTGGTGGTAGTATTCCTCTCTCGTCATCCCCTCTCAAAGGTGACGACCTGGAAACTTTCCAAGGTTATGTGCAAGACTATGACAAGGCCTTGCTAAACAATTACGACTGTGTCAAGTGGATCTTGGACCATAAGGACGATTGTTTCAGCTTCAGCGGCGCTGTACCAGAACAATGCCATATCCCAAATGCTACCATTCCAGAGCGCAAGGATTTGAACCTTCAAGAACCGCAGCAGTATACAGATTGCTGGTTTAATCTTGCGACATTATCCGGGGATCAATTTGGAGGTTGTGCTTTCAGCTCAGATTGTGATGGAGCAGAGTATTGCAGTGCTTGAGTGGAGTTATAGGCTTGAGACAAAGATAACTATTTCATTCAATGTTGTCCTCGATATCCAACAATGAGATCAACAGAATTCTCTTCATGCAATAACTCGTTGGTTCGATCATGTGTGTGGTAGCTCGCGTTGTTTTAATCTTTTGTCTTCTCTGTAGTTCTGGCTGTACTTGGACGATGTCGTCCATGACAGGGAAAGTAAAATGGCCTAAATTAATGAACAAGACATGACGTGACTGTCCCTACACAGGTAGTTACTAAGCACACACGTCGAGTTATGCATTCAGCTTTGCCTGGTTTGCTTGTCTTCAAAGTGAAGAGACTATGCCCCTCATCCCGAAAGTACGAAGTTTCATGTATGATGGTCAAAGCCTTGAATCCGGTAATTTCCCCTCCAGTTCCCGGATCCAGCTCGAATGTATAATGTTTCAAGAACGGAAACAAAGTTCAAAGAGAATATCAAACGATAGGATATAGGTTGTGATTATTTAACGTCTGACTATAAACATTGCTGTAGAAAACAGAGCACATTGTCCATATTAGGAGTACCCCTGCCGTATAGTACAGAGCCACCGTTTCTACCAATCAGTTTAAACTCTCACTTAGATGATGCTACCCACATCAGTGTGCTGTCATGGAGGGCCGGCTAATGCGGCTAGACCTAAAATGCGAAGGAAGCCACCTCTGGACCCTGAAGACCTAAGATTACGTGATAACAGTGAGGTCGCCAGGACCATTAAGAGCGTCGCCCTGCACAGCCATCATGCGATTGATTTTAAGGTCGCCTCCGCTTGGTTGCCTTGTTCAGATGGATGGCGGGTAGGCTGGGAGCCTCATCGGCCATATACAGGGCAAAGGCCTTGGAGCCTGCGCCGAATCCCAGCTTTTCGAAACTTGAGACGCTGTTTGGACAATCTTTCTACCAACCCCAAAGCAGGTATCGACAGCCCCGGAGCAATCAAAGCCATCATGTGCCAGGGCGTAGAAACGTACCACATATACGCTGGCTGCAAACTCATTCAGCAGCCATCCACAGACGCAGAGGCTGCAAGGTTATCAGGAGAACAAGATGACCACATTGAGCCTGCAAACGACGAAACGACGTTCTTCAGTCGAATCTTGCCTCCCATTCTTACCGGCTCCTCGCCAAATAAAGAGAAGGGAAAGGAGAATGCTTCCGCAGAGCCCGCGGTAGTCGAAGAAGCTCAGCCTCATAAAGTAAAGATAACAACTATATTACAATGTCCTAAGGCTAGGGGAGATGTAGCTCTGGGGAAGGCACAAGACGAGCGTCGATGTACTACTCTAGAGGCGTCTCTTGATCCTGGTGAAGTGGAGGAGCTTGGTATTACCAGGATGAGAGGAGAATGCCCGGTTTGCAAGAAGATGGAGGACATTCAGAGAGAAGCTCTGAATGTGGAGATAGTTGTACGTGATGCTTTGTTCTTTGCTTGACAGTTTGAGTCTTTTGACTAACATTTGGGTTAGAAACCCTACAAGGAAGGGCTCAGACCCGCTCCTCGCGGCGGCCATCGTGGGGTAAGAACCTCTCGTCACTCGAGATTGAGACCGTCAGTTGTTAATTCGACGTAGGGTGGCAGAACTGTAGATGATCCGATCCGACACGGCGACTTCCCACCTAACTACAGAAGCCAGCATGGTCAGAGGCGAAAGAAGAAAAGAAGCAGAGTGAAGCATTCCCACCCCTTATCCTTGACTGGACAGCCTACTAATAAAAGCTGATGCCTGTAGTCATCAAATTCAATATGTGTGATATTGTGATTCACGGTTCGCAATGCACAGTCATGGCTGTTTAACGTATGGTTACTATCCTATTAGATCTTCAACGAAGCGAAGAAATTGGACATGAATGACTCTCCCTTAACATGTCGACTTGAACGTCTGTCGTGTGACATTCGCTTGTGTCTCGGCTTTGCGTTGCTGCCTTGACTTCGAAGCGTTGCACTCTCGTGCCTTGATTTATGGGCATGCGTTCGGTGTGGTTTTGTTGAAAACTCAGATTTCCTCCTCCCCGTGTTCTTGGTTGTATCATGTTCTCCGCTATCAGCCAGAACACATCGATTGGCCATAGACCTAGTCATGACAACCCCTTGGTAAAGATCTTTCAGGCGCTTGACGACCTGATGTGCAGTGTCAAACTTTAGGTTCCAGCAAGCATAGATAATATCTGCAAAGTGACTATATTTCGCATTGACGTTCATGACTGGAAAGCGTTTGTTTCGGAAGTTCGTCACGATTTTTGTTGTAGAGAGGCCCTCGTAAGGCAGATACCCTGTAGCCATCTCGTACATCGCAGAGCCTAGTGCGAACAGGTCGGACTGGGTTGTTGGCTCGTCTTGATCGGGCAGCTTGCTATGAATGTCATAGTCTACTGTGGCTAGGGGCTCAAAGCAACTGATGCTTGATCCAGAAAAGTCGGATATTTTGAGAGAGTCGTCGCTATCGAGCAGCATATTATGGCATCCAACTGAAACGAACCGAATTGAGCTTCGAGCCTTCATCTAGAGAGGAGTAGGGAAAGGGTGTACAGACCATCTGCTTGTATTATGCCTTGATCATGGAGAGAGGCAAGACCGACAGCAGCCTCATACGACCAGCGTAGTGCAAGATCCATTGCCTCATCTTCCCCTATAGTTTTCGTATTCTCTCCTTTTCGCATTCTCGCGAGACGTTTTCGGACAGGCTCGACACATCTTTCGAGAATCAACGCTAACGGATACTCGGTCTCGTGGCAGACAAGGACATGACGACATGGTCTTTGTTGAATTCTGCGGTATACCTCTCGCTCTCTTTCGAATGCTTCAAGACTGACTGCAGTGCCCACTGGAGTCTTCACTACCGTAGTATCGTCAATCGCAAAAACGATAGCCGTACCGCCTTGACCAATCTTTCGCAGGCCGTACAAGTTTCCGTCCCATAAATGTGATTTTCGAACTTCTAGTTCCTTCGGCTTGCGGGTGCTTTTCTTGGTTTTTTTCTGAGAAGTATATGGCGCAATGTTCTGGTATGGTTGTTTGCCCAAGGACAGTACCATCGCGTCAAGTAAAGCTGGCTTCCTTATTTGGGTTTTGATCTTCGCGATTGCCTGGATGAAGGGTAGGGACAGAACACGAGATTAAAAGATATCCTGACCGCCTCTGTTCAAGTGGAGGCGAGACCATCGGGATTGTTCGTTGCAAATCACACGAGCGTTCCAGTACCCACCGCTGGGACAGACTCGGGCATCCTGGGGGCAGGGGAACGATTGATCCCACATAAGCATGGGCTGTCGCCCACGCCCAACGATCTTTGCCATTGGATTTCACAGTGGCACTTGTGGCATCACGCAGGCTTTATTGCCCAATGGCAGATGCAGACTTGTTGATGCAAATCTGATGCCATACAGCCTCTGATTCGCTGTTGATAGCCACCGCATGCAAGCCGCTCACCCTAATGCAACACAATGTTATGTTCACCCTGGTGTATCTTTACAGCATTCACTTGTGAGACAACCAAGCTCTCTATCAGTATTTTCGGCCAATTGATAGATATTGAATGCTTTGAAATGCCGGGCATACGAACTGTCGCTTAAAGGTTCAGAACAATGAATACGAAATCAAGATTAGGTCACGACCGACTAAGCAATGCAAGGAGTCCGAAGCGGCCGAGACCGCCGGGGGTCAGCTGTTCCCACTAAGCCTCGCTATCAAGCGGCTCATTTAACCCCTGGATCCCTTCAATGCACCAACAAGAGCTCCACTCAGACAGAAGGATCCCGCCCAAGAAAGCTTATCGTGAGTGCTACAAACTCTCGGTAACGCCCAAGACTTAAAATAACAATACTGCTTCATTCGTAACCGTATCTGTGGGCGGAGATAAACAACTAAGACAAGGCTGTAAGCTAAAATGGGCATTTGATCTATACTCCTTTGAAGGAGAGGATGGTCCATTACCAGACCCGCGGCATTTTGCCGCGCATGAGGTCCAATAATTTAGATCTCTAGAAGCTGGGCGGCCTCGGAGTCTGCGGCATTTGCCGGTAGTGCCTAGGTCCACCAGATTTACAAGCTTCTTCGGCAGGGCCCTGAACCCTGGCTAGTGATGCCACTGTTAATTACTAAAATATAGATGGAACAAGGTGGGATCTCAAATGTGGGCTCTGTAAATCTAACCCTTATCCAGTCGGTCGGTTTTGGCTCTCGATCGTGTTGTTGAGTGGTGCGGTGTAAAACCATTGGTGGAAAATGGTCTTCTGGAACGATTAAGGAATTGCTAGCAGATCTGCTGGACGTTTCAAGATCTGTCTAGGTGAACCCTTACCTCGGGACGTCCATCGCGATGGTATTTGAAGATAAAGCTCCCAAATCGTCGCGATTGTTCAATGATGAGGTAGTCCACACACCAGTCTTTCCTTCTTCTCCAGCACGTTCTTTACATTCTTGCGAACATCTGTTGTATCTCGCGTCCGATCTTTTTATTTTCGAAATGATTTCTGCCACTCTTCTACTCGGCGCCTTGGCGTGCGCTGTCGTGGCTAGCCCTATCGTCAATGATCACGCTTTTTGCACCTTTACGGATGCTGCCACTGCAATCAAGAACAAGGCCAGCTGCTCCACCATCACCCTCAGCAACATCGCGGTTCCCGCTGGCACAACCTTGGACCTCACTGGTCTCAAGACCGGCACTCATGTATGTAGACAACGACTGATCGGCTAAAGGGCATTGCTAAATGGAATTAGGTTATTTTCTCGGGGAAGACGACATTCGGTTACAAGGAGTGGGAAGGCCCTCTCATCTCTTTCACCGGCACCAACCTGTTGATCGAGGGGGCTTCTGGACACTCAATTGACTGCCAGGGACAGAGGTGGTGGGACGGCAAGGGCAGCAACGGTGGCAAGACCAAGCCCAAGTTCTTCAGCGCCCACAAGCTCATCAATTCCAACATTAAGAACTTGAATGTTCTCAATACACCTGTTCAGGCTTTCAGCATCAACGCCGCCACCAACCTAGGTGTTTATGGCGTAACCATGGACAACTCTCTCGGCGATTCCGAGGGTGGCCATAACACCGACGCCTTCGATGTCGGATCTTCCACCGGTGTCTATATTTCCGGTGCTATCGTGAAGAATCAAGACGATTGCCTTGCCATCAACTCCGGTACCAACATTACATTCACTGGTGGCAACTGCAGTGGTGGCCACGGCTTGTCCATCGGATCCGTGGGCGGTCGCTCCGACAACACCGTCAAGACCGTCCGGATCCTCAACTCCAAGATCTCCAACTCCGACAACGGTGTTCGCATCAAGACTGTATCAGGCGCAACAGGTTCAGTCTCCGACGTCAAGTATGACAACATTGCTCTCTCAAACATTGCTAAGTATGGCATTGTTATTGAGCAAGACTATGAAAATGGCTCCCCAACTGGCACACCGACCAGCGGTGTCCCCATTACCGATCTTACCATCAACAAGGTCACTGGTACTGTCAAGTCCGGTGGAGTCAACGTCTACATTCTTTGCGCGAATGCCAAGAACTGGACCTGGACCAACAACAAGGTCACTGGTGGCACCAAGACGAAGACCTGCAAAGGAATCCCTAGTGGTAGCGGTGCCACTTGTTCATGAGCACTGGCGAAGCATATCTTGCAAACCCTGAACTGGTTTAGGCTTAGCTCACCTTAAAGGAGCTCTCTATTCTTAGCCCTAGCGGCTCGTAATTATCATAGATGTCTACAGATTACATTAGAATATAAACGTTTAGATGGTATCTAGCTCTTGACGTTGCTCAAGAAGGTAGCCAAACGTTTTGAAACACCGGGCCATACCGTCCTATCTCACGAACTAATTACCTACCCATCCATCCACCATCTACCGTCAGCACTTCACCATTTACATAAGCACTAGCTTTACTCGCCAAGAAGATAATTGCTCCTTTGAAATCATCAGGAGAGCCCCACCTGCCCGCTGGAATTCGTGAGAGAATGGCTGTAGCACGACCTTCGTCGTGGATGAGGGCGGTGTTCATCTCCGTATCAATGTATCCTGGCGCAATTGCATTCACATTGATGCCGTGCGCAGCCCACTCGTTGCTCAGAGCTTTAGTTAGTTGTGCGACTCCTCCCTTGCTAGCGGCGTATGCTGGTACGGTGATACCACCCTGGAAGCTCAAGAGGCTGGCGATGTTGATGATAGAACCGCGACGGCTGCTAGAATCATACGGTGTTTGCTCTAGCATGTGGTGTCCGACATCGCGGCAGATCGTGAAGACGGCCGTTAGATTGACTTGTAGTACTTCGTTCCAATCGCTGGCTAGAAACTCATGTGCCGGGCGTCTTCGCTGGATACCGGCACAATTGACGAGAATATCGATCCGGTGGCCGTCCTGCAGTATTGAAGGCACGAGTGCAGCTACCGAATCTGGAGATGACATATCAACCAAGTAAAGGGTGCGGCTACGGCCTAAGGCCTCCACCTTGATCTTCGTTGACGTATCGCTGCTTGCACGCTGCATGATCACGCTGCGTCAGCTCTTGAATCTCATACATTCCGTGACCTGGGCAAGAGATTTCAGCGTACCACTGCGAGGAGGATATCTGCTCCAGCTTCTGCCAAGGCCAATGCCATGGCCTGGCCGATGCCCCTTGTGCCTCCCGTCACCAGGGCCTTTTTATCAGTAAGAGAGAAATACTCCATGGTGAATTCTTTATATCAATTGAATTGTTGACATTTATCCACGCAATAATACGTTCTGTCATGACTTTCTCATATGTTTCAACACAGGAAGCTCATCTGTCAACAATTTGTCCGTTTTTCTGTTGCCACAGATCACTCCATCCTCTTCGGCAAATGGCACTCGACACACCGTCGGCTACTCAGCTCCATAGTGCGGGGAATTCAATAGCCGGTACCACAAATCTGGGCGGCTCCAAACCAGTCGACATCCGATTGCGCAACGATTAACAAGGTTTGCCATTGTTCGTCGTTGTTTGCGTATCTTTCTCAAATTTGCAACTTGACTGTGAAATTGGACGTTGAACATGACTTCAAGCAGCGAGACGCAGACGATCACAGCGTCGGTTCTACATGGCGCAAAGGACCTCAGGCTGGTGAGTTCCCCCCAATTTGTTGAATTTTAATCGATTCTGTCATTCTGATTCTGTCCCTATTTTACTTGTAGGAAACTAGATCAATAGAATTCCCAGGGCCAGGCGAGGTTCAAGTCGCTATAAGGGCAACGGGTATATGCGGATCTGATCTACATTATTACGAACATTTCCGAAATGGCGACATTCTTGTCCGCGAACCACTGTCGCTGGGCCACGAGTCCTCCGGCGAAGTTGTCCAAGTTGGTGCTGGTGTATCGAATCTGAAAGTTGGAGATCGCGTGGCTCTCGAAGTCGGACTGCCATGCGGCGAGTGCAGTCACTGTAGCGAAGGACGATACAACATTTGCGCTAATATGAGATTTCGAAGCTCAGCCAAGTCTTTCCCACATACGCAAGGCACATTGCAGGATCGTATCAATCACCCAGCAAACTGGTGTCACTTGTTACCTCCGACTATGCCCTGGGATGTCTCTGCGCTTCTCGAGCCGCTAAGTGTCGCAATTCATGCAGCCCGCCGGGCCGCTTTGTCGCCCTCCGCAACTGTTCTGGTATTTGGCGCCGGAGCAGTGGGTTTACTGGTAGCAGGAATTTGCAAGATCTATGGTGCCAGCACAGTCATTATCGCTGATGTTGATCCAGGACGGGTCAAATTTGCCGTTGACAACGGTTTTGCAGATGGTTCGTTCATTGTACCCATACGACCAAGACCCTCTAGCAGCGAGGCGGCTCTTCAAGCTGCGAAAGGATTGGCATCCGAGATCTCTACTTGTAAGAGGCAGAATGGTGTGCCTGTTGGGGAGGTTGATGCTGTTTTTGAGTGCACCGGAGTACCATCATGCTTGCAGACAGCCATTTATGTGAGTTTATTATTACCAACTAATGATCACCCTCTCAAGACTGTTCTTTCATTTGGATTTCACTGTTTTGGAGATTGATGTTCTGACCCAGTGAATAGGCAACCCGCGCGGGCGGCAAGGTTATGCTCATTGGCATGGGTGTGCCAATACAAACTCTGCCAATTTCTGCTGCAGCCTTGAGAGAAGTAGATCTATGTGGAGTTTTTCGATACGCCAATACTTACTCAGAAGGAATTAAGATCCTGTCTCAGACTGGACCGGAAAGCCCTGACTTCTCAAGCTTGCTTACTCACGAGTTCAGGGGTCTCTCAGCTGTCAAGGATGCGTTCGCAATGGCCAGTAGAAAACAGGATGATGATAATAAGTTGGTAATCAAAGTAATCATAGCAAATGAAGAGTAAATAATGTCACTTAATCAAAGGAATAGGCTTCACTCAACGAGGAACTCTTTTTCTAATTGTGCGCCCATATATCGCTAGACGGGTTTCTGGCTTACTTTTAACGTACATGATGCTATATCTTTCATGTCGAACAATTACTCTTTCATTAATAGAAACAATTGTCAAGAATATGGGTCGTCCCTTTCTATATTGTATATTTGATCATCGATGATGTTAGCGCTCTCTGCCTATTTTATGCCACCGGCAAGAACGACTTCCTGTCCAGTCATATAGCCCGTCTTTGCAAACCTAGTAGAGCAACATTAGAATTCTGTTCATGTGATCACCGGCTGAGACTTACATGACCACAACGTTAGCCACTTCTTCGGGAGTTCCGAGTCTATGAACTGGAATACTCGCGGCGATAGCCAGCCCAGGATCCTTGATTTTCAGTTCGTCGAGATCATCTCGGCTGTTCCATGTTCTATTATATAGACGGGTTAAGAAGTAGTCTCAACACTAGATATGAGCATAATCTTACTTTGACTTGGGTGTAGGGATCATTCCAGTGGCTCCTATCATTGCTGGCAAGACCTAGAAGAATCGTATTAATGTGAGAGCTGACACGAAATCTTTAAGCATTGGCTCATATGCCTCGTAGGCTTGGAAGTGCTTTGTTGGATTGTCTTACAATATTGACAGTTATTCCCTCCGGAGCTAAGAGCGTTGCTAGATTCTTTCCCATTGACCTGTAGCATTTCAACTCAGCTTTCTTACTCCATTTTCCAGCTGCTCAGGGCACATACGTAATTGCACCTTTACTCGCGGCGTAGTGGCAGCCGTTCAACCCACTGCCTAGGCTTGCAATACTTCCAATGAAGATGACTCGGCCCCATTGATCTTTTCGCATACCTGGTAAGCAAGCCTTGGCTACTACGAACTGGCTACGGGAGTTCACCTCCATCATTTCGTCCCAGTCTTCTTCGTGAATGTCAGCAATATCTCGAATTCGTCGGCCCAGGCCCGCATTTGCGACAAGGATGGCGATGGCCGAGTGCTTATTGGAGATTTCACTATCCGACAGAACATCCGCTACTAGCTTTCGTGCAGAGTCGCGAGCAGATAGGTCGGCGGCAAAGGTTCGAAAGAGTTGTCCGGGATACTGCTGCCGAAGCTTGTCCGCTAGCGAGTTTGCTTGGTTCTTTCGCGCATCAGTCGGTCATCAAAGAGTACATAATCAATGAGATCATCGTGCAAGAGGCGTGACCTACAACATCAGAACGGTAATGCAGCGCAAGATCGCAGCCCTCTGCGGCCAGAGCCTGCGTACACGCCCATCCTATGCCGCCGCTGTCGATCTCTCATCAGTGTCCAAGCTCAACCACATTACAGCTTTAGAGCCAAATAAACCAACTCACTTTGCCCCTGTGACGATGGCTAAGCGGCCTCGAACTTTGTTATCCGTTGCTTGGAGGTGGTAGGTAGTCATGTTCGAGAATTATTTTTCAAAGCTTGGTCGAAGTGCACTGTTTCAGGCTCATGCCGCTGTTGATTGGGTCACTATGATGAATGAAAATAAAGACACGAGTCTATAGGGTACTGGATGGCCGCTATGCTTTCATGGGAGCTAACTAAAGCTAGACTTCGAAATCATAGTCGTCCCCAACCTTCAATAGCCGAACTCCGCCCGGGCCGATTCCCGGACAATGGTCGGCATACCAAACCGGCAAAGACAGGGACAAATGAACAAATAGACCGCAACAGAGGTTTTAATGTATTCGTTAGCTCAATGACGAGCGACGAGTAATGAGGTGACAGCTGGGTTGTTTCGAACTTTTGCTACGTATATCAGTAGTTTAGTCTCTATGAATCACAAGATCAACCCAGCCACCATCGTATGATAAATAGTTAATCACGCAGTGAAAAGGAGAATGGAGTGAGTAAGTGTAGCTACGACATCATTCAGGAGGATGGCGAACGGCTGTCAAGCCAACGTTATAGTGGTCTGCGGGCCTGCAGGCTCCGGCAAAAGCACCATTGCTAAGGCCCTCTCTGTGGACTTGAACTATTGCTACATAGAGGGAGACGAAGTGAGAAACTGTCTTTTGGCGCCCCTGGATGCTTAGAATACTTGACATATGTTTATTATATGTTACTAACGTTTCTGAATCAGTATCACTCTGAGGAGGCAGTCCGAAAGATGAGCCAAGACGAACCTCTCACTGACTCGGACCGCTGGAACTGGTTGAGCAAGTTGCGAGAGGCGGTGGCAAATTTGATTCGTCAAGGCGCTCCTGGCGTCGTTCTTTCGTGTAGTGCCCTCAAGAGAAAATACCGAGATGTATTGAGGGCTGTTCGGCTACGAGAAGATCTGGTCCTGCAATTCCTTTATCTTCAAGTTTCGCAGCATCTACTCGAGGAAAGAGTTTGGACCCGATCAAATCATTACATGAAGGCAGCCATGGTGCAGAGTCAACTACAAAGCCTTGAGAGCCCTGATGCAGATGAGTTGGATGTGCTCATAATCACGGCTGACGACGAGGTATCTACTGTCCATCAAACAGCCAGAAATGCCGTTCAGAGAGAAGTGCGCAATGGTAGAAGTTGATTGTACAAGACATAACCTAATTTATTGGATGGCATTCGCCGCGTACGATGAAATGAAACAATGCGACGCTTCGTACCTCATTTGTGTTACAGCGTGAAGTCGCGATGGGGGTGACTTGACCATGCATCCCATTCATTTTCAAGAATATTTCTCCAACGCTTGATGAGCTTGCATAATTGTTATAATATTTGGCATCCCTCCACTTGACCGTTCAGTGAAGACGAGAGTCAGGAGGCACTAGTGTGCTATGGAAGCCGGCCTCTCTCCCGTGCAATCGCGGCAATTGACTGAATCGGCTATTCATCTATCGGCGTACGAGGATCTGGAGAGCTCCACACTATGTGGATCTCCTTTCACGCAATGAACAGGAACATCCACATGTCCACGGATACCTCCGTAAACTTCCCCCAGATCCCCACAGCCTCTTTCGTCCCAAAACTGCGGGTGTTGCGGGGTTAAATCACGCTGAATGTCGAAGTTAAATACCTGCTTGCCTGGCCTCGTGTCTTTATTATCATTTCACCAGAACAATTGCAGCCAAGCAAGCATTTGGCAGAGATTTTCCAAAACCACCGAGGTTCTAGAGTGCAAAATGGGCGAGCTTCATGGTCGAAAACTGATCCTTGCCGTCAGCGTGCTGACTTCCTTGGGATTCATGTTGATTGGCTTCGACAATGGATTAATGGGAGGATTAGGTATGATTACTTCATCTTGTACAACATAACCTTAAGCCTTCATGTTTTTAATCTCCTCTGCTTAGTGAATACTCCCTCGTTCAATTCCACGTTCAAATCACCAAACTCTACTATGACTGGACTTATTGTCGCCATTTATGAAGGTATAATTCTTTTCATGACTTGTTCTAGGTTTTGGAAGGTGGCTTATTGATATTGGCCATAGTCGGATGCTTCTTCGGATCCCTTTCCACAGCGCTCTTTGGTGAGAAACTCGGCCGCCGTAAAACAGTTGCCATCGGTTGTTCTGTCATGATTATTGGCGCTGTTTTGCAAGCTTCCTCGTACACTCGAGCTCAAATGATTGTCGGAAGAGTGGTTTCTGGGGTTGGCATGGGCATTATCAATTCCACTGTGCCTGTGATACAAGCCGAGTTCAGTCCTAAGTCTAGCCGCGGTATTTGTAAGTACTTCTTCTCCTCCAAGTCTCCAGATTTTCATCTGCAAGTTTTCAGCCATATTCTGGGACTCTTCGTGTGTGAGTTTAGTCAGCCTTGCACAATATGCTAACATCGACTCTACAGACGTCTGCGCTCAACTTTCCACTCTTAACTTCGGTATCTTCCTTGTCTACTGGATTGACTACGCATTCTCAAGTCATACTGCAAGCTACGCCTGGAGAATACCTGTCATCCTGCAATGCATTTGCATTATCCCGATGTACTTCATTCTGCTTATCATCCCCGAGACACCGCGATGGCTTGCCGCTCACGACAGACCCGAAGAATGTTATGCTGTCCTCAAACGCTTGCAAAGTGTCAATGGTACAGATGAGCAGGAAGTCCAACGCCTTCACGGCATGATTCTTGAAACTGTTGCATATGAAGCTTCCATTGGTGCTGGATCTTGGAAAGACCTTCTTACGGAGGACGACATCAAAAGTCGCAGAAGGCTTCTCATTGCATGTGGAATACAGGCATTCCAACAGCTTGGCGGTATCAACGCGATTATTTGTAAGCTCATCAAAATTTCTTTCCGCACCTGTCTGACGCAGCTGACAATGACCTTCAATAAACAGACTATAGCAGCACTCTATTCGAGAAAAGCGTCGGGTTCGACAGTCATATGTCTGCTCTCATGTCCGGATTCTTGCAGACATGGTTCTTTGTTGCATCGTTTATCCCCTGGTTCCTCATCGATCGAGTTGGCAGACGTCCTCTGGTAAGCTTTTATCTGATGATCTTGATAAATAACCCCCTGCCCTTCAGAAATTCGCTGACCTGCTTTAGCTTCTGTCCATGATCAGTCTCATGGCTTCAGTGATGGTGGTCCAGGCAGCATTGATTTACCAAGTTCAGAATGTGACTGCGATCTCTCATGCAGCCGGGATCGGTGCTGCCGTCATGTTGTTCATTTTCCAAGGGGCGTTTACGGTTGGGTTTCAAGCTACTGTCTGGGTCTACCCGTAAGTTGCAATCCTAGCTATATCAGCCGCTTTCAACCTACTGACATCTTCAAGATCGGAAATCCTTCCTTTGCGTCTTCGACAGAGAGGCTCGTCCATTTCGACAGCATCAAATTGGATATTCAATTATGTAAGACTGACTAACCATGTAGGGATCTCAGTGCTAACATGTTCAACGCAGATGATCGTACAAGTTACGCCCATTGCTATCACAAACATTGGCTGGAAAACCTACATCATTTTTGCCGCATTGAATGCATTCTTTGTACCTGTCATCTATTTCTTCTTCCCGGAGACCAAAGGTCTGGAATTGGAAGACATGGACCGCCTCTTCTCTAAAGACCGAGTCTTGTTTCTAAACACCGACAAAGGAGAGGTGTCCAATATTGAAGATGTCAATGTTCATAAGGACCACGTTTAACAATTACGTCTCATACGTGTGGATGAGAAAATCAACCCACCAGAATTATAGCTGTGATATCCATCAGCCCCAGAGCAGCTCAGTCATTGAGTTGCATAGATAGACATACTAAGGACTTAGCAATCGACACTTTCAACTTTTATTTAAGTCATGGCCAATGCATAGTCTCGTCTCATTAGTCATGATTATCTCCATAAAAATGCTTTGGGGAAAGGCGAGAAATGCCACGAAAAGTGCAATCCTGGAAGATGGCCCGAGAACCCATCCAATTGGTGGTCAACTGTTGCACGAAAACCATCCCAATTACGCCTACGTGCGCTCGCTCCTTGCCCCTGCAGTCCTATATTTATTCATCACATCCGTGGTATCCTAGATTTCAATGCATCGTACGACATGCGCTTGGTGAGCCTCGGTCGGATGGACCACACTAATTTAGCTTGTCCTGACCCCGTATCTCGGCTATTAAAATCATATCGGCAACTGAAAGGCACCCCGCAGTGCGGTCAATTGCCGATTGGCTAGCCAGCCTCCATCCCAGGAGCTCCGGGAATGACGGTGTTGTTGGCATCCTTGCCTTTGCCTCGTATAACATATAGAATAGTTCTGTTTGAGGCTAGCACCCAAAGTCTATGGGTTACGCACGAGAACGTGATAGTAGTGCATGACTGTTCTCCTTTGGGGCTTCGAAAGCAAGATGGCAACCTCGATGACATTTCCCGCGCACGATGACGCCGTGAGAGAACTCTTTGGACCATCGCCTGAGTTGACCCTTCTCTGCGAGAACCTTGAGTATCCATTTGCCCATGAAGCAGGGGTGTTTGTTGAGAGAGATAACACCCTTATAATAACAAGCAACCAATTCTCAGACCCATCAACTGGGGACCGCAAAATCCAAATCACAAAAGTACATCTTCCATCCAACGAAAACGCCACAGCAAGCTGCGAAGAGATCAATCCTGTTGGCGCATCTATGGGTAATGGCGGCGTCAATTATCAAAACGGAGTATTGATCTGCTCACAAGGGACGAAGGCGGAATGCGGCGGTATAATTTTCATGGAGGCCGAGCCGCCCTACACTACACGCAGTATTGTCAGCTCTTTTTATGGCAGACAATTCAACTCTGTCAATGATGTAGTTGTCCATAGTGATGGTTCGATTTGGTTCACAGATCCCATCTACGGGTATGAGCAGGGTATAAGACCGAAGCCGCAACTACCCAATCAAGTGTACAGATATGATCCCGTTAGAAACTCTATCAGGGCTGTGGCCGATGGCTTTGGGCGCCCGAATGGAATCTGCTTCAGCCCTGACGAGAAGATTGTTTACATAACCGATACGGACTTCATTCATGGTGATGGGACAACTGATCCTTCCAGAGCCTCAACAATGTAAGCATCAGAGTTGTCCATCTCGCTCGTTGTCACGTTGCAGAAGTATGAAAGCATGAGACTAATCGAGCCAACTCTACAGATATGCATTCGATGTCGCTACGTACTCCGGTGAGCCGTTCCTCACAAATAGGCGTTTATTTGCGATGGCGGACAATGGCATTCCAGACGGCATTAAGTGTGACATACACGGCAATGTATACAGTGGCTGCGGAGATGGCGTTCATATATGGTCACCAGGTGGTGTATTACTTGGAAAGATTCTCGTAGATGGTGGAGTTGCCAATTTCTGCTTTGGAAAGCAGGGCGAGGTGTTTCTATTGAATGAGCATCGGCTTTGGAGGGCGAAGCTGGCGGCATCAACAAGGGGTGCTTTGTTGGGTATCTAGTTACTTCTCCGAAGCTAAATTTGAAGTCCAGTGCTCCTATTATTTGGTTCTTTATATTTATTTGACCTCAGAAGATCATGTCATTTCCTGACCAGATTATGTCTTGCCACACGTCTGTGACGGCATCCAATTCCGCCGTGCCCTGATCTGATTCAGACAGCGGCGTTGTAAGGGTCATGTCTACGTAGTTGAAGCTATCACCAATAAATTGACCCAGTCCGTCGAGGTCTCTCCAGGAAAATCCCCTCAATGGATCCAGTTCAGCACTTTGGTTACCATCTTCGCATGCTACTTGGCTTGTTGGATTGTTCGTGCCGGACACAGTTGGTGGACCGTTTTCCGGCACCACGCCAGACTCGAGCCGAACTGCTGCAACTCGCTCTGCCGTCTTCCGCCACAGAAGGAAAAGCGAGCGCGCATAGCGTTGGCCGAGACTGTTTGGACTAACCGAAGACTTCTGTAACTTTTCTATGGTTATGTTGATTGTCCGGCGGGTGCTACTACCAGCCTCGCCGATTAGTGCCCCGGATACTCTTGCCTGATACACCGTTAGTGGGGAGTCAAATTGATAGTATGGAAGGTCACCATGGTACATGGTTTAATCCGTTACCTTGAACAAGAATACCGCGGCGTAGATTACATATAGGTAATACTTCAAAGGCATGTACCGCAAACCCGAAGAAGGGTCTATGAAGTCATTCAATGTGCATAGTAGCGAGTTGGCGGCATCTATCGACTCATAAATGAATCGCGCGTCCGGTGTGCCTGCTATGTCAGAGAAAAGGGGCTGAACTGGCGTCCGCGATGAGGGCTGGTTCTGTCGCGCACGAGCTATGGCTCGGTTGATGGTGGCTTGAAATGCAAATGCGTTGATATAAAGGCGAAGGAACTCGTAGGAGAGGATGAGAGCCGCTTTTACAGCAGGCGTGACTTTAATCAGGACAAAATATTAGCACAGATACTAATGGAGATCTAATGCAGTAGAACTTACAGCTCAGACCACCCCAAACCAACTTCCACTTCCGCAGCACGGCAGAAAAGTCGTCCTAGAGTGACTTAGTTTCATCCTTAACGCATTGACAGACGCTACCGTGTCAATACTCGAAAGGTTGCCACTTACAATATACCTGACATATTCACCGCCTGTGTAAAGCTGCTCTCGGTGACTTGTTGAAGAGTACAGAATATCGTGGGCATTGCTGAAAAGCTGGATCAGCTCGAGGCGAGCCTGGAAGAGCAGCGCTAGATTTCCAGATCCGGCCTGCTGAGTTCGAAGCGTCGGGAAGTCGGTGGCGTTTAAGATAGTGGATGGCCCGGGACCGCGGGACCAGAACCCTTTCCCGAGACGAATGGAAACTTCTCGATCGCTCATGTAGCATGCTAAAAGTGAGAGGACAGACGGTGAGAATAATGTTCAGGAGGACTAGATAAGGAGAGATATGTCCATGCTTACCCGTCCAAGCAACCCGTTTTCTTTCGAACTCCTCGGTCCATTGGGATTTGTCGCGAAGTAGTCCTGTCTGCTCAAGGCCCTGAAGATAAGCGAGCCTGATAGCCACTCCAATCTGCATCCACGCCCCTTGGTCTTCCTCTCCGCGGCCTATAATCGGTCTATCTTGTAACCTTTGCGGAGCCCATTCTGAGAGGATGAGTAGCGCCTCTACGGCTCCTACAGTCGTTGAGCCGTGAGAGATGAGTTTAGAAATGATATTGTCCATATGCTTGGAACATGCATCGTGTACCCTGATCCAAGATGGGTCGTCCTTCGAGGCCACTGTTAGGATGCTTGTAAGAAGATGAGGCTCACTCCTGATTAGAGTGAAGATGTCACGGCCATCGAATATACGCTTGTCGGCAACAGGGAAAAATGGATGGTAGTTATTGTGATAGCTACGTTGCGTCTTAGTTATGCCATAGTCACGTAATTTCCAGGCTGATAGACTTACTGCGTCAGGAGGTAAGAAGCGTCAGAAATATCAAGGAAGCCGTCTGAAATCGGAGGATAATAAAATGGTGTGTTTCCGGAAGGATCTTGTATGTGTCCTTGATCCAGGCCAAAGCGGCTTGCGGACTGGCTGGAGCGACGATTATGTCCGCCCGGGTCAACGTCGAGATCGGCAACTTGTGCGAGAAGATTGAGTGCATCCGACGGATTGAGCAGATCCCGCGAGGTGAATTGGCCTTCGACATCGCCATTAACTGATACCGATGGGTGCCTTGTTGTGTTGTCGGACGACTCGGATGCCGGCAAGTCTCTTGTCAAAGCGGGAGGCTTCGAGGAGTGTTGCAGAGACAGCCTTGAATGCCTCGTCTCTTCAGTTTGATCAGTCTGAGATTGACCCAGATCGGATAACGTCCCCTGGCGGCCTTCATCGTTTCTAGAGTGTTGTGTCGAAAAGTTGTCAGATGATTGAAGTGGACGTGGAGCTTTTCTGGGTCGCCGACCGCCACGCCTTGAAGTGGCTAGAACACATTCCAGAGACTCCTGCACGCATCGCGAACATGGAGGAACGCCGCCAGAGCCACTACACGATGAAGAAATCCTCAATTAGCACGCTAAGGTTATTACATGTGTAATTGCCGATCAAAGAGTAAGGAAGTTTGAATTGATCGACCTTTGCTCCTAGGTACTCACAGGTCGCATCTCGTTTTTCTCTGTCGACACGCAATGCATGCGCGTGATATACGCTTCTCTTTCGCAGCACCACTGCTGCGCGGTGCTCTTGGCGAATCATTTGTCTCCATCGGCAACGTGTGCTACTGTTACCGATAACTTCTGATGACAATTGCCTATGAAGATCGAAAACCGAACATTCAACAAGGACATGGAGTTTGTCGGCTATTTCCATTCGGCGATGGAGCTGAAATGCCACCTTTTGTCAGGGCAAATCTCATAGGTGGTTTCCCTAGGAATTATTACCCCGCATCGCACAACAAGCTTCGGCAATTGAAACCTTGTCCACAATATCGGCAATCCAGCGGCTAATGAAGGCTTCTGTGGCGCTGTAGCTTTCCTAGCGTCGGGGTCTCGAACATGTCCAAGGGAGCATGAACTCGTGAGACGACGAATTCTTCACGATTTTGGCGATAGATCTCGTGGGCGACTTTCAATTGGTCCCGATACATGACTTGTAATCAAGGGAGAGACCGAAGCACCCGTGGGTATAGATATCGCTAAGTTAGGAAGTGACCATCAAGTATCTCAACCTCAGAATGTCCCCTTCCAGAATATCAAAGCCAAGAGTGTTGATGCTTGGCATCGTTATCCATGCAAAGGAAGAGTTTGCAACCCTTTCTGAAGTGGCTGAAGTTCAGGTCCGTATCTACTAATTGGACCGGGTTGGATCTATATGTGCAGCAGCTAATAGACCCGACGATCAGTCAGTTACTTCAGGCACACGAGAAAAATTCATCAAAGACCTCGATGAGGGCGTTTATGATAGCATCGTAGCAATCTCTAGGACCTATGACTCCGTCGAGGTAGGCAATTATGATATTTTGACGAACTGGGATTCTTAGTCAGCTAAAGCACATGCTGCACGCAGATAACTGGACGATTCGACAGTGAACTTGTGTCGCATTTGCCCTCCTCAGTAAAGTTCATCTCACACAATGGCGCGGGATACGATCAAATAGACGTTCAGGCATGTACAGATCGAAGTAAGCTCTCTGTAGTCCGAAAATCCCCCTCAGAACCACTGAACCATATTGACGACTATTGATCTGTCTAGACATATCAGTTTCAAACACGCCAGGTGCGGTCAACGATTCGACAGCAAATATTGCTATATTTCTAATTCTTGGTGCGCTACGCCGGGCCTGGATACCCCAGACTGCCATCCGAGAGGGCCAGTGGCGCGGCGAAAGTCCACTCGGCCGAGATCCTAATGGTCTGAAGCTCGGAATTCTTGGCATGGGTGGTATTGGAACCGCAACCGCAAAACGTGCCGCGGCCTTCGGCTTTGACATCCAGTACCATAGCCGGTCAGCCATTGCAGGAATCAAAGAAACAATCGGTGCGCCAGCCCGCCACGTCGGATTTGAGGAACTTTTGCGCACAAGCGATGTCATTTCCGTCCATGTACCTCTCAGCGAGTCAACAAAAGGCTTGCTAAGTGACCCCGAGTTCGCATTGATGAAGCCAGGAGTAATTCTTGTCAACACCGCGCGAGGCCCGATTGTGGACGAGGACGCTTTGGTGAGGAATCTTGAGTCAGGCAAGGTCTGGAGCGCTGGGCTGGATGTTTACGAGAACGAACCAAACGTTCATCCGGGGCTGCTGAAGAGCTCTAATGTCGTACTGCTTCCCCATATTGGCACGGCGACAGTTGATACTCAAGTATGTCCAAGTCTCTGTTTCCATAACCTCAACTTGGCCATAAATATTGTCTGTAATTCCCAGCTAATCATTGCGCCGTTTTAAAGAAGCGAATGGAGGTTCTAGTGATTGACAATGTGAGGAAAGCGGTCACAGAGAGCAAGCTATTAACTCAGGTCCCAGAACAGACAGCCTGACCACAAAGGAAAATCACTCAAATTTGAAGAATTGAATCTTTCGCTAGCAAACATTAGAAGTAATCTGCTTTCATGGTCACTCTCATTGTTTAGTAAACTCTAGAGGACATTGTAGATTGAAAAGTCCAGCTTAATCATCCCTTGAAAGCCTGGATCTGCCAGGACTTTACAGTTCGCCTTGTGGTCTTTCTCGTTCCATCTCTTGACTTGGCAGTCCTATCAGAATAATTTCAGTACAAATCACACACAATGTTGCATATCGAATTCCGTACCTTGCCGCAATAGCAAAAACTCCTGCATCTGGCGCAGCGATTCGGCGCCTTTCCTTTGCCATGAAGCTTGTCACAGCCATGGCATTCCCACTGCTCATCAATGGGCTTGCAATACTTCTGCACATCACCACTAAGCCACCGCAATTTCTCCAGGCTTAAGGGAAATATCTATTGGCGTGAGTTGTTAGATGTAATCCAATGTACAAAGATGGTCGTTGTCCATCAATTGACCCCCGCACGTGTTCCGCGCGCTCGGCTTCAACCCCTGAAGTTCCATCCATAAAGAATCGTTGATGGGCGTACATGATGGCCATCGTGTGGCCTTTGCGCAGCTTGCTAAAATTGAACGATTTGTAGTCGTCCAGATAGAAGGCCACGACCAGCTCTTCGACATTGTCATCTTTGACAATTGAGCGGTAGCAACCGAAAGTGTCATAGGATGAGATCTCCCCGAGGAAGCACCAATGCCGTGCGGGCGTCTATTGGTGGCCGGTTCCCCGACTGGTCCTATTTGTTGCGTGATAGACGCCATCACGGCGGCCCTCAACTGGTAGATGGTCCGAACTCGCGGTCATCATTAATGTCGGCAAATTGAGTCATTCTGAACAAAAATAGCGACAATGATTTCGTCTCAACACAAAAGGATAGAGTTAATTACTTTTGGCTTGGATCTGGAAGCTCAAACTTTGAAGTGGATGACAGGAAGGGTGACTACTAATCGAGACAAGCAGTGAAACTTATATCCGGCCTTTAGATGGATGGATGAAATAACCAGAAGTATTACTGAGGAATCACAGGCAAGGCCCAATGATGGCCGACCAGGGACAGTCCCCATTTGGTGCAAACATGCGCAGAGTGCTATCGCAAACCTTGTTGTGGCTGATGTGCACGGACAGCACCGCCGGTTTCGAGCCCATCACCGCTTGTTTGGTCATAGAAAAAGCAAAACAAAAAACATGTAGAGCTCGCAGTTATTTGCTGATTTCAAGAGAAGAGAAGAGAAGAATCAATGTGGCTTTCTGCAATAGCTTAGGGCTCATACACGAACTTAATTTGTGTGTCTGTTCTTGTATGTCGGACATACTTGCTGACATAGTGCTTTATGGAACCACATCAGCGCTTAGCTGGGCGACAGTTGTAGTGGAGATAACAATAGTGGGCATCTTGATAACCAGAGATGAGCACCCACCCAAGAAAAACCTCATTGGATGAAATTGCATGAGCTGCATCCGTCAACACTCTCCCTTTCAGCACCTGAGACTTGATACAGAAGCGAACCTTCGGGTGATTCATCTAAATTTGAAGCCTGCACAGAGGCTAGCAGCCTGCCTCTTATCTGAGCCTGCCAATGGCTTCTCAGGTTGTCAGCTTCAAACGCCCCGGGTCTGTCGTGACGACCCAAACATGGACGGTCAACATCGCCGGGGCACCCGTCTCTCTTCCCATAGTGACCATCAAAGAAGATCTTGCCATTTCGCTTATGATGATCATCGACATGGGCGTGTCCTTCGGCGTGCGATGCGGATCTGCCATCGCCGCCGCAGTATCTGATCTACGGCCGGACGTTGTCGTCGGAGCCGCCACCCTCGGCATACCCGTCGCCATTGAGGTGTCGCGTGCATTGGGACTGGACCGCTATGTCATCCTGCAGAAGTCTCCAAAGATTCACCTGCGTGATGCAATGGTGCAAGAGATTCAGTCTATCACATCTTCAGGGTCGCAGCGACTCCTGCTAGATGTAGATGCCATCCCTCTCATAGCGGGACGGAGGGTGCTCGTCGTGGACGACGTAGTGGCGTCAGGTTCGAGCCTCAAAGGGGCTTTGGAGCTGGTGAGGCGTGCTGGAGGCTCTGTTGTTGGAATTGGTGTGATTCTGACAGAGGCGAGGGAGTGGGAGTCAACGCTTGGTGAAGATGCAAAACTGATCAAGGGTTTGGCGCATATTCCTCAGTTCCGACTTGAAGGTGGAGAGTGGAAGCCTATTGAGAGCACATTTTGATAGAAGGGGTCTCGAATATACTGGCTGGTCATTGAGCTACAACGCGATCGATCTCCAGTTCACTGAGATCATGTGCCTTTCGCATCAAGTTTTCCGATGATCTACCCACAGAACGTTCCACAGCAATGAAGTCTAGAGTTTGATATCAATGAACAAACAAGGCTAACAGAGGACTATCTGCAACTCCGACAGCTCGAAATCGATATTAGTTGTGGAATATGGACAAGAATGCAGATTGTAGTGATGAAGTTCGATGAGTGTGATACTTGACGGCTGTTACGACGACATAATTCTGAATTGCCAACCTAAAACAATGCCCGAATTACAGAAAACGCTGTGTCCATCCTAAAGACTATCGTTCTATGATACGATCTTCTACATCGTCTAAACATATTCAATACAACTCTTCGAACTATCAGCTGTGGCCCTAGTCTTATCTTATTGATTCGGTTCAGGTTCCCTTGAGTTTACTGCTTTTGCTAATGTAGGATCATATAGGCCATCGATGCCAGCGTTCTTGAAGGACTCGACGGTTTCCGTCCAGGCCCTGTCCGTCATTAGTTTCCCTTCCTCGGTGTACATCAGTTTGGCAAATCTAAATCACCGTGAGATTACCATTAGTTTGTGACATTTGAAAAGACGATTTGCACATAGCGACGTGTGAATACTCACGGCGAGATCTGCCACGAAGCCAAGAAGCTCCCATGTGATTCTGCGTCCTGCTCCACTGCCGCATTCAGATAGACCCATGCGCCGGCCTCCAACGATCGTCCAAGTATGGTTCTCAACAGCCAAGTGATGGATTTGAATATCCGTGGCTGCTCGCGCTCATTCGCGGTGGGCTTTGTCATGCCGGGACAAACGGAGTTGACAATCACGTCCTTTGGATCCACCACGTCACCGAGCTTTGACACGAACATCATGAGTAAGACTTTAGATGAATTATACCGCTCAGTTGCCACGTTTGGGCTCCAAGGAATGGGTTGGTCGAATGCCGGTAGTAGCGGGACTTCCTTTCCTTCCTTGAATTCGGCAGTATGAGCAAGGTCGCTACTTATAATGGTCAAATGCGCAGGCTTGCCCTGAACATGCTTTTCCTTCAAAATTGGAAGTAGTAGCAATGAGAGTAGCGCCGTAGACCAGTAATGAACCTGAACCGTCAGCTCGTGGCCAGTGGAAGGATTAAGCCGGAAATCGGAAGGCAGATTGCCAGCACCAAGGATAGCAAAATCGATTCTCTCCAGAGCCGCACAACGCTTCGCAAACGACTGCACGGATTCATATGAAAGCATTTCTAATTCCCAAACATGAATTTCGGCGGATGGAAAGTTTGCTTTGAGGGTCTTAACAACAGCCGCCCCCTTTTCCATGTTTCGAGCTCCAAGAATCAACGTCGATAGCTGGTATTCAAGCAGGACACGGGTGCAAACAAGCCCAATACCATCGGTACCTCCCACCAGGATTCCAGCCTGACCCGATAGATTCAAGTCTTTCCCAGGTGAAACTGGTTTAGTGAACTGTCCTCGAAGCCAACGGCGGATATAAGGCTCCTGTAAAGGAGGCAAATCGATTGATGATGGCATCGTATTTCGTTAGAGTACTCAAGAGGTTGACTTCGATACAATACTCTCAAAGGCCCTTTACTTAGAGCTCAATACTACTTATATGTAAAAAGGATAATCTCAGCTGTGGGCTTCTTTTGGTCCGAATTCCTGGTACACAGTACAACACGATCTCCCTCCCTATTCCTAAACAGCCAATCACTGTGCCTCTTGGCCAAAACGCGCTATTACCAAAGTGGTAAACAGTACGGTGGGGCTCTTCCTTCTGCTCCACGCTACATGACTAGCCTGGTTAATAATCCTGGACTTACTAACATAGGGCAGTCTGCTAACGTGAGCCTCAGGTGCGGTACTGTTAGTAGCTGTTAGTGAATGCCACAAAGGTCCAACACAATATATGGAACTGGTAAGACGACCTTGAAGACTCCCAATCTCTGTTCCTCCCTCATTCCGGCATGGAGAGACTCGACATCAGTGGCCGGGCAACTTGACTCACATGGTTCGATTATGAATCTTGGGAGTAGTGACTCGGACAACCCGGACCCTATCTACGTGCAATGTCGCCCCGCAACTTCGTCTTTCTCAAAACAGATAACCGCGGGAAGACCAAAAAGTCTGATCGGAAGCTGATACGTAGCCAATGTATGAATGGGAGGAACTGGAGGATAGGCCGTTACCCCGACCATTCCGTGCAGTTCGATGTAGCCGGGGGTGCTAGAGGCCGGGACCTACAACGGAATTCTCAGCAGAAGCCACTTTACCAACTCCCGACTACTAGTAGCGATCAAACAGATGTACGACCGGCGGACCTTTACCGGGAGCTAACTCAACTCGCCGTACCGCGAGCACCTAGTTCCGATCTCTCTGTCTTAGCGGACAGCACGAATGCGCATACACGATTGCACTTGGTTCATTGTAAGCATCAGCTGTTTACTGATACCCCTGGCGGGTTTTGCATCTCTCACCTCAACTAACTACTGCATCTGCAGTTCTGTCACATGCAGCCCACATTATTTATCCCGTAGAACTCTGCGTCGACTTCGACCTTAGACAGAGCAACGGAATACGATGGATGTTCGAAGATCCCGCGTATCTTCACTTCATCCTATTCTTCAGCTCGGCCATCAATGATGCATTTCAGAGACTACCCTTAGGAAAGACTACATATTATCACATGGGCCGCACCATCACCTCCTTGAACGAAAAGATTGCTCGCTCTGAACTAGAAGACTCAACGGTTGCTGTCATCAGCTCATTGGTCATTGTTACTGCTCTTTTCACGGACTATAGAGCCGCGAGTGCCCATTTTGCAGGCTTGAAGCAGATTGTTGAACTCCGTGGTGGTCTCAAAGCTTTTCGCCATAACTTGGGACTATACATAAAATTAGCTCGGTGAGTGACTCTCTACAGTTTATCTTCCCTCAATGAGAAGCTGCATTGGTCACGGAAAGATGAACTCACACATACCTAATAGAGTCGACTTTGCTTACACCATCCATACCGGACAAGCTCCACTCTTTGGTCACGAACACTTCCTATTCGACGCTCAGACAAGCGTTATCACTCAAGATGCAGATGGCGATGAAATCAACAGCAGTTTGTACCTCCCACGCGATCTCGAGATACTCGTCGGCGACCACAGAGTTGTCTCTGTGTTCTCTGATCTACGGCGTCTATCATGTAATCTCAATCACGAACGGCGCCTTCAAGACTCAGATTTCAAGCTTTCAATTTGCTCGATTCAGTATAGGCTACTGTCGTTGGAGAATAGCGTCAATGGCAGTATGGCTGAGTGTTTACGTCTCGCGATGCTGGTCTTCCTGACCACAACATTCGAGATACCTGAGAGCGCCGGTCAGCGATATCCATATTTGTCAGACAGATTCCGTGAAAGCTGCTGTGGAATATCGGCCGAAGGTCCAAAGTCCGAAGCCTGGAACGACTTCATGATGTGGCTTTTGATCATCGGGGGCGTATCTCTATTCGGTGTAGACGAAGTATGGCTTCGGGAACTTTGGGAAAAGGTGTTTCCATCTAATGAGACATGGCAGACCGTTCGGGGTAGGGTAAAGAAGTTCCTATGGATTGATGTCTTGCATGACAAATTGGGCAAGGAGATGTTTAATATCTTCAGAGGAGATGGCGTGGATGATCTAACAGCCAAGAAATCAAAGTCCAGTGCGTGGTGGTTAAGCGGATGGGGTATTTGTCCTCTCGAGATCTGAGAGCTGCTAGTAAATATGGTTCATCTTTAGGCGACAATCTTGTAAGCTTCCATGAGCCTGGAATAATTTCCCTCTTAGCCTATTCAAAACAATTTTGACGCTGCCTCGCTCCCATTCCAGAAATTGGTTCTCAGAGCTTCCAAAAAACAAAATCTGTCGCTATGTGAGCATGCGGATGATTCTCCTTGAAATACATGATATCTGTATACGAGGCTGGAATAAGGCAACCTCTTCAGTCAGAGAAGACATAGTATACAACCCTAGCCGCAACATCGTTTTGTCGTATTGGCGTATAAAAGGTTCAATGTTGTCCGGCAATGCAATTCCCCCGTATTCCCGGCTTTGGGTGTCGACTGTCGATCACTGCCACCACTAGCCCTACTCCAAAGCACAGGTGCCATCGGAAATCCCGGAAGGGGCAGGTTGAAAATATACATGAATACAGCGCCACGCTCACCTTGGATCCGTTCGGTAGATGTAACCCCCGATGCGAGCAGGGGCCTAATCCCGGCGATCGTAATGTATGCGACTAAGCGTGGCGTGCAGTAACATCACAACTCTACCCTACGTCAGGCACCGCGAAGCCTCTGATAATCCGAGGGAAATAGATTGAACTCCCTATATCATATTCGAAAAGTTGGGCGTGTCTCTATGGTATTCTAGGCCTTATATTAGTCTGTTGAATCGAGTACATATCTCAAGATCCTATCATATGTGATTAATGGAAAAAGAAATTCTTCAGAGAATGTGGTCAATTTCAAGGAGCAGCTACTGAGCATGGATATGCTGAAGGAAAAACTCGAATTCCTTGTCTTTATTCCGAACATGATAACTTTGATAAAGAAACTACGCGATTCACATCAGACGCGGGCATCGTTGGATGCATTCAATGCATTACTCTCGTATAACAGTCAGGGTCCCCACGTAACGAGAGCGGGGCTGAAGGTCGTAATTGCTCACCCCCGTGGGGAATAGCTTATCCAAACTAGCAAGCGCGTTTCAGATCGACATCCTCAATGCTTGGTTCTACACGCACAAAATCTGGACACTTCCACCAACCAGATACTGTGTAATGAATCATACGAATACTTTGTCGGCTCCGACGCCCCCGGCGGCATCAACACACGAAGCCTTCAACAAGTGTATTGCCACGAGTAGTTCTATATAAGATTGCTCTTCTTCAGGCACGAAACGCGAGAGAACGCCCAACTTGCTGAAATGTACAAGACTTGTTCAGTCTAAACAAGAAATATCCACTTCACATACGATCACCCTTTGATCAAAGGAAAGGGGAGATGAAGTCTTGTCTTTGTCTCCTTTCTTTGGGAGTGTTAGCGATAGCGAACCCTCTGCCATCCGCTCAGGAGTTTTACGAACATGAACTCCAGAAACGCTCGACAACACTCATTCCAAACACTGTGTTTACATCCACTGCCTTGCTTGAGCAATACTTCTCGTACAACTACCCTTGGGGCGATACACACAACGGCGCGGCATTGATGCAGAAGTCTCAAGTTAGCATCATCGACAATGCCTACTTACAGCTTAAATCCGTGTACACTGGACAGCAGTCTTCCAGCAGTAGCCTTTATTACGATTCCGGTACCGTTTACGCTAAACAACACTTCACAGTCCAGAAAAACGGTGGCCTCGACTTTCAGGCGAACTTCGTGGCACCCGTAGCCCAGGGTTGCTGGCCCGCTTTCTGGCTTACCGCTGTTTCAGGTTGGCCTCCTGAGATCGACCTCGCTGAATGGAAGGGCACTGGGAAAATATCGTTCAACACATTCAATACAAGTTCTCAGGTTGCGTCAAAGGATGTTACATACACCGCGCCAACGACAGCTTGGCACACCATCTTGGCTAAGCTCAGAGCTGAGAGTGATGGGACAACGGTGAAAATTGATTTTTATATGAATGGTAACTTGATCACCACACAGTATGGGAAAAACTATGTCGGCAGCGCATTCTATTTGATAATTGACTACCAAATGCTTGGGAGCAGCGGAAGTTCAGGACCAACGTCCACAACATATTTTGACGTTCAGACTCTTAGCGTTGTCAGCTACAACCCCTAGAAACGCTGGACTGACTTGTATCTTGATGATTCACGATTGATCGTTCAGTTATGGCCGCATACGTGGGGTTTTCATCAAATAAATGGTTCTTCTTGTTATGTAATCCTTAGTTCAAGTTCAAGATAATGGAAACGCAACTCGCATAGTTTCCATTCAAAAATCTGCCCAAACTTTGTCCTCACATATTTCCCATCACCTTTCGTGAATGAGCCGTTTCTGCAGCTGCTGTAGAATGTAAGGAAGCATTGCGGCGCAGCTTGCAAATGATCTACATGCAACTATGAGGGGCAGGTTCCTATCAATGCCGGATACCCGTGAATTCCGGTCATCCTACGGTGGGTAACCCACTTTCCTCAGCGACATGTGATCCGGTATAACGAAGTTACAATTATCGAAACTCTCCTTCAAAGCACGATTCCCCTGACACGGTTTGTGGGACAGAGAATAGTTGCTTCCAGACATGACAGAGAGTGGCAAGAAGACGACAGACTCCTCCAAATGGCTGCAGACGGATGTCAAAGACATCGATGCAGCGCCGCGACAGCTTCTACAAACATACTCTGGTATACCATCCGAGGATGTGATCCCGCATGTTCTGGCTATTGTAAGAAGAACTCGCCGAGGAGCTCCAACCGTTAGGAATTGACACCTGCTAACGAGATATTTCGACGCCTTTGAAGCGAGATAAAGCCTTTGCTTTGTATCCGTGGCCATGCATCGGCCAGATGCGATTCATACGGCTCAGCTTGGCCTCGTATCCCTCATATCCTTTTGTTCTTGAGCGCCTAAAAGGCAGCCCTAACTCAGCATTCCTTGATCTTGGGTGCTGCTTCGGCCAAGATATTCGCAAGCTCTACATTGATGGCGTGCAGGCAAAGCAGCTAGTCGGGCTGGATCTCGTACCCGAGTTTAACGAACTGAGCTATGAACTGTTCCGCGACGCGGACAAGTTTACTTTTGAGTTTCACGCTCTAGACATTATGGATGATACGGCCAATTAGGAATCGCTTGAGAATCGCTTCGACGTGTTGCATATGACCAGTTTCCTGCACATATGGAACTAAGAAGGTCAAGTGAAAGCAGCATCGCGTGTCACATCCTTCACAAAACCAGGGAGCGTACTGATCGGCAGCGGTCTAGGCAGTCATGTCGGTGGCGAGTTTCCAAACCTTGAAGGTACGGGCACCAACTTTCGGCAGAGTGAAGAGACCTTCCGACAATTTTGGGTTGAGGTGGGGAATAAGACGAAAACGAAATGGGATGTGTCCACCGCCTTTAAAATGATGGATGCAACTCGCATCAACATGAATCAGGCTTGGGCGGAGTCTACAATGGGTATCCTCATGTTCGAAGTAACTAGAATTAGTTGAGTAAACAGGAGATAATCGGTGTTGAGAGATTGAAGATTGAATCAGACTTTCGCTTTGCAATGTCACAGTGGCAGTGACGAGGGTAAACATGACAAGCGATTCTTTTCAACCATGCATTGGTTTGTCATATACTCAAGTCAGATAGGCAATTGAGGACTAAAGCACGGGGACTTATGATAGTTCTTGGAACACTTTTCACAACTGTCAGCCTTAATACATTTGAACACTTCCTTGGGTCTTATTATTAAGATATCTGTGTATATATGATACTTGAGGAAGAAGACGGTTACCAGCTCACTACGGGGCTTCATCAGGAAAGCAACAGCGTCTTGGGTAAAAGGCATTTGGATTAAGTATGGTGATATGATTTACTAGAAACCAGAGTGAATCTGAGGATCCATATTGTTGCTGGTTTGATTGAGAAAGAGAAAAGACAACGCCTTAATTATTTATCCACCGTGGACTCCTCCCAAGGGAAACACAGGCCGGGCAATATGCTTAGTACAGGAGGACGAGAGCAAACAGAGCCGGGGCGAGGAAGCTAAGAGTGGCAGCTACGCGGTCTGATCCAGCAGTGACGATGGTGCTGGACGGCTGGGAGACAACGACGGCGGTGGTCTCACCGCTGCCGGAGCCACTGCCACCGCTGCCACCGCTGCCGGAGCCAGTGCCGGAGCTGCCAGTGGGAGTGCCACCAATAGCAGTGAGAGTGGCAGTGGCGGCACCGGGAGTCTGGGTGAAGTAGACGCCACCCTCGCAGCTGTCGCAAGCAGCGGGAGCGCAGACACCGACGGCAGTGGTGGTGTTGGTGCACTCAACCGGCTTGTAGACAGTGATGCCGACGCAGCTGTCGCCAGTGCAGATCTTGGGCTGGTAGGTCCAGCCACCCTCGCAAGAGCAAGTCTCAATGACATAGACGAGCTCACCAGAGCAGTCGGCGCCGGGGAAGGCAACGAAGGTCCAGAAACCACAGTATCCACCGACGCAGATGATGGTGGTGGATGAGGGTGCGATGGCAGAGGTGACGGTAACAACATCTCCAGCGGAAGCAGTGGAGACAATGGTGGTCACGGCGGTGACAGTGGCAGTGACAGTGGTGGCCGGCAGGTTGATGTTGATGTAGACAGTCAGCAGGATGGTGTTGGGGATAGCAGCCTGGCGACGGGCAAGAGCAGAGTCAGGGCGGATACCACCGCAGTTCTCAGAGTCATCACCTGGGCAAGGGATGTCGCACTGGCCAGTGGGGACACGCTCAGTAAGAGCACCATCAATCTGGGTTCCGCAGTAGCAGTCACTGGAAGAGAATTAGCTGAGTGCTTAGAAGTTAGAGGCAAAGATATCTTACCCATCGTAGACACCAGCGAAGGTCTGGTTGCCGCAGTAAGATGTGCACATCTCAAGATCCATGTACTCGCTAGAGGCGAACAGGCTGAAGGTAGGGAAGTTGTCGACTGAGCCAACGCAGCCGAAGAAAGCGAAGTCGCCAATCAGACCAGGGAAGCCAGCAGTCTCAGTGGGAACAACACCACTAGCGGTGGCAGATCCAGAGGTGGTAGCGGTGTCAGTGCCGGTAGCAGTGCTAGAAGCAGGTGTGGTCACAGGCCCGGTGGTGATCGGGGCGGATCCGGAAGTGACGGGCTCAGTCGTGTTTCCAGAAACTGTGCCAGAGCTGGTGGGTGCGCTCGTGCTGAGGACCGTGCTCGACGAGCTGCTGGAGCTGATGGCAGCGGCCACAAGCTGGACGTTGGAAATGACAACTGGGACCGGATCATCACCGCAGGTCTCGATGATCTGGAGCAAGGGGCTGGAAGAGGTGTAAACGGCATCAGTGTCAATGGTGGATGCAGCGCCGGCATTGTCGTCAATGGTCTCGTTGTAGACGGTCTGTCCATCGAGAACAACGGCCAGGGTGCAGTCAGTAGCCGCTCGCTTGTGCTTGGTGGAGGAAGAAGTAGCAGTCAGATCGAAAGAGCAAGAGACACCCTGTCCAGCTGAAGTCTCCGGAGCATCGGCGTTCACAACAATAGAAGCCTCGCCATTGGCGGGAGGTGTCATGAGGCTAAGATCATGTTAGTATGCAACGATTCCATCCTCTCAGGTTAGTTAGGTCTTACACAGCAGGCTTTCCATCAACCTCGATGATCGCAGCATTGGTCAGGACAGCGTCAGACAGGTCAACCGAAGAAGTGCCAGAGGGGCTTGAGGTTGTGGAAGTTGTTGCAACCGCGGTGGTAGCAGTCTCACTCGGCACCAGGGTAGTACCGGACTCGACAGGGGTCGTCGTATTGGCAAAGGCCTGGCGAGCGAAGTTGAATCGGCGGCGCACAACTCCGTCGGCCACAGAGAGGCCTGGGAGAGCACCCACGAGCAGCAGAGCGGTATTCAGACGCATTTTGGCTTATTTGTCTTGTGGATGTTGTTTATTGATTATGGGGCTGAGGTGCTAAAGTGCTGGGGTAAAGGGGGCAGAAACGAGAGACAAGGGGGGAGGGGGAGTAACGAGTGACAGACCTGATTAATAGGTGCGAGTTGATTGTTGAGATCTTCTCTCTTGGACTTCCGGCGAGAGTTCATGGGATTTTATAAAAGCTGTTTCCGGCGCGAGATCGACGATACGATCATGTTTGCCTCGACACGCTGTGGATGCCCTCATTCTTGTCGGACTATACTATGGAGTATGCGGGCCCACTCTCCATATCCGGGCAACTCACAACGCGCGGCGGCGAACTCTCTGGCATGCAGCAACAGTCCGGCTCTGAACTAGACTAGTTAGCTTCGTTGCCCTCACCACCAAAACTCTCTTCACTTTCAATTGGACTCTGGCACTATGCAGCAACACAAGCAATCACTTCAGCCCCTTGGCTGGAATTTTGATCTCCAATTCTCATCTGATGGAGTGCATCGTCTGCTGCTTCCGGCTTGTTAGCCAGGGGATCCGCTTGCAGCTACTAGTCTCAAAATCGAAAAGCGCTTCCTTTTGCGCGCCCCCACATCGTCTTTACTCCTAAGTACGGACCGTTTACAATAGAGTTTCGTAGGCACAATTCTGGAATTTGGCACACCGACAATGGCGACTATTATTTGTTTAGATGGATTTTCCCCTGGAGAACTAGACTCTTAGACTGACTTCGTTTGCTGCTGTTAGGCGCATGGAAACTAGCCTCAAAGTATAAACCACTTCGCTTCGTGTCTCAACGCTCGATAATGACATCAATCTTCACGATACTTTGGCCGAACAATATAGGCGCTGCGACAGCTTCTTCTTAGCCGTAAGTGCAGCTGGCCACCGAGACAGGCATATCCACTCAGTAGGGGAGTAATGTTCAGCAATTTGCCTGTATGGGACATGGCTTGACTAGGGCTCTTCCACACTTCCGTATTAATTATAATTTCATGATGAATTCTTCAAAATCAAGGCACTGTAGTATTAATTCTCGATTTAGAGAACAGACTAGACTTAGCCGATCGGTTATGTCTGCAAAACAAAGCCGCAGATAGGCTGCATCTCCATCACACACACGCACATTCTCAACTTAGCGCGTGTGTGTTGCTCGTTCAATCTTTCCCAATTTGCCACGTGAGTATGGCTCCTTTTGCTTTGCCCAGTAGGTCCGCCAAAGTTTCTTTTTTGTTGTTTTGCAACTCGCAAGACTCCATATTTACCTCGTACTCCAGAGTTCAATGGATCTCACACGTGTGCCTATGTCTGCTGTCCGTGGTTTGAGTTCACGTCTAGACTTGATAGTAAAGGAGTATGATGCAATTACTGCCCACATTGAACCGATTAGGTGGGCCTCCCCATAGGAGCTGAAAAGCACAGTAGCCTTATATAGCCCACTGGGGACTCTAGCAGTAAGCCGCATAGTACGCATGTAAGCAAAAGAAACCTCCGCGGCGCGAGGAACAAAATCGCCGGCGTCAACTTTCAAAGTAGCATGTTGGCGTAAGCGAGAGCTCGTTCACAGGCGATTTACAGATTTTACGAGGGTACGATATTTCACAGATACAGTCTTGACCATCATCATCGCCAAATTGTGCAGATGGCCATATCGTGATGTTGCGCCCCAAACAAACGTTTCGCGTCTTCATTGAACGAATGCTGCAGCTCTGGAATGGCATCAATCGCGACTTGAGATGAAGACCCAAACTCGAGCCCCTGTTCCGGCATGCTGACGGGTGGAGCTGGGCAACTAGCGCCAGATGTCAAGAGCAGGGATCTGATGGTCGCATGCAGCTACTCCGGCGACTAGGTTAGAAGCACACTGATCTATTCGGCCTCCGGAAGGGGGATAACTCCTGCCAGTGCTTGTACCATGACGCAGAAGCCATAATGTTGACGCCTCGCCGAATCTTAATCACCCCAGGACAAGAGGAAAAAGAGGGTCGTCTCTGGGGAAGCACCAGGCTAAGAGTTACTGATCTGGACGCTCTGGCTGTGCGTCCACGGGAAAATGGGAGACCAGCATAGCGAGTACCCATGCATGGCCTTGCCAATTACGAGTAAGCTGCTGATTTAGGCCTATACTACTAAATTGGCATCGCGAAAATCGCATGCGGCTCAATTTACAAGTCCTGTGATTTGTCCCTGAAAAAGAGAGGCCGATGCTGATGATTTTCAGCTGTCCACCTTCTGATGGTAGCTCCACGCTGGGTTCGGGCTTGCCGCACTCCGAGACGATGTTCTCTCGACAGCCCTATTTTCTAGAGAACATGATTGGAGTAACGTAGCTCTAGGAGAGACCCTCTCTTCCCGACCCGAGTGGGACTTAGAAGTGAATCGAAGAGAGATTTACAGCAACCTCTTGACCAAACTCCTTCGCCCAAACCTTACCACATGCCAAGACCCTCCCAAATCCCATGATTCTCACGCGACACTCTATACATAGCTCTGAAGCTTGAGAAATATGATGTCACCATTCTGTGCTACACCAGTGGTTGAAAACGGCGATCGTCAGGCTCACTCCAATGCCGTTCCGACTAGCGATCAACGTTGGAGAAGTCTGTAACTCTAATGAGGTTTCAACCGCCGTCCTATCCGTTCTCACAATCGTGCCTTAGAATATCATCGTCATTGTATGGGTGTCTGCGGACTAATCTGGGATAGAATCACTTGCTGTATTTTGATTGCTGTATTTGAGGATCTTTCGGTGCATTTTGGCTCCGCCCAACAGCTCACTACTCTAGACCTCCATTCTTCGTAGTTCTTTCTCTGAAATTTTGCGTTATCGAAGTGTTCAAATGAGCCGACTTCATGAAGTGCATCATGCATTTCATAGTTGTCGTTGACACCTGCCGCCGAGCCTCAATGTTCTTGGTGATATCTGTTTGAGGCGCACGGCAGGACAAACGGCACACGAGACGGCACAGAAAACGGACACGGCCTGTCGAGACACGGCTGTCTCTGCCACGCGATAAGAGATTGCGATTGCGAAGTTATCTAATCATGACGGAACAATCCAACGTCAGCTCTTCAATTCGCTGTATTTTGATATATAGAGCGCTGCATCGTGATCAAATGCATCCCGATTTCTGGAGTAGTGATTTAGCCTTTCGCATGGGAAGAGATTCGCCTCCACAGGGCTAGAATTACAGAACACTCTGGGCTACGGAGAGCGGGGCCAGATCTTCCCCTGCGGTTTATTACTGCACTGGGAGTGGCTCGGTGGATGGACAGGAGCCAGGGCACCTTCAGCACAGACATGTTTGGCCGTGCATTCGGCCCGTCACTGCTCGGAGTTCGTCCACTATTACGCGCAAGACAATGAGATTCTTCAAGCAGTGGATTGGCTAATTTGAGAATGTCTTTTCAAGGCATTTGATACCATTCACGAATCGCCATATCCGAAGTGCATCGACAATCCTAGCTTGTGTTTGTTCTGCGACCATGTTGTGCATGGAGACGCTCATTGACGAGGAATGCAGCGAAGTCAAGACGCGTTCTGTTCCTGGATTTCGGAGCATCTGGCGCACGCGATTCAGCAGACCCGGTGATAGTCACTCAGGCACCGGTCGCGTCATCATTCTGCGCTGGAATGTGTGCCTTGGCCAGAAGTGTCTCGGATGAGCACGGGGACTTATTAGGTAATCCTGACTCGAGAGCAACCGCACCGCCGGAGCCAGCCGTTGACTTATTTTACTGATCATTTGCCGCCTTTCGCTGAATCGTGAGAGGAGAAATGACCCGCACATCTTACTCATAAACATTTCCGGGGGCAAACGGGCAATGGCCGAAGCCGCTGCGGGCGACGGATATAGCGGCTTCGATATCGCTTCGGAGTTCGCCCGCTGTCCCCGCGCCGTGGAGGCGCAATAGCTGCTGCGACGTCAAAACAGCGATACCGGGCATTTTCTGGTAGGAAATCGCTGATGGTTCAAACTGACGAGAATCCAGGACGTGCAATGACATTATCTCGCTATTTTGAGATGCAAAAAGTCCTCGGATCTCAGCGATAGGTCCTCAAAATTGTTGCGCCTTACTGAATTGTCCCTCCCGTGTGCGAAGCCAGTGCCGAAACGGTTCCCTTCACCCACTTGATGCCGTAACAAAGGATTTTGCGATAACCCGGTGAATTTCCCGTGAAGTCCAAACCGTTTGTAATGAACGAGGTCACACGCGCTTGTGGTATCTGGTATCTACGCTTCCAACGGGACATTGGCGTTCAGCTTTGCTGGAAGGCATTGATTGTTCGCCATGCAGGCCACGGACGAGGGCATATGCTCCGCTTTGGGACAAGAGGAGATACCAGTATCCGATTGCGATGGTCTGGCTAAAGAGAAGGTAGAGCAGTCTAGCAGGCTAGATAACCCTCCCTTCAATTGTGATACAGACCAAATTGGCGGATGCGACGACCGCATCGTCCACGTCCTTGGCATTGAAGCGCTCAGCCCGTCCTTCTCGCTGCTTGACTCGCTGCGGTCGGAAGGGTTCGAGGCAAGCATGGTAATGGCTTCCTTGGGTGAGATACAAAACGAGTTTCTTTCGCCTTACTCCTGGCCACTGTGGATAAAGGCCGTTCGCCTCTGGGGACCCTTCATGGCGTCAACGTTCGCAGCCTATGCGGCCGGAGCATACGCACTGGCATCAGAACCGCTGCGGCAGCAATGGCACATTTCCGACGTTGTTTACAACATTGGCATCACTATTTTCGTGCTTGGCTTCGGTTTTGCGCCAATGATACTTGCGCCAGTGAGTGAGGCTTACGGTCGATACTGGGTGTTTGTCGGGTCCGGAGTAACCTTCTGGCTGGGCACCTTGGGCTGCGCAATTACGAGTAATTTTGGTGGCATGTTGATCTCCAGATTGGTGGCAGGGAGCGGTGCATCCGTCTTTGCCACGCTTACTGGAGGAGTCGTGGGCGATCTGTTTCGAAAAGAGGACCGGAATACGCCCAT